TGTTAGCTAACGAAAATGATCCCCAAAGGTTTAGACAGTCACGATTGTTAACAAAACATTAATAACTTTCTTTCCCTTTTATGATCAGTAATTATACTTTGATGCAGAAGGAATTAAATTATAAAAAATTTTATTATATATATATATATGTGTGTGTGTGTAAATTATAGTTACCAAATATATGTTTTTTTACTTCACACTAAGAGTGCAAAATATGTCGCTGGATGACAGAGTATAAATATTTACATTAGAGGTGTTGTGTTGGTTGGTTTTTAATTTCTCGTAAATCTGCTCGAGAGCTACTTGGACTCGCTTTTCCTTATTTTGAAGTGGTAGAGTACAGAGAAGACAGCAAGTCAACACCAACTCTTGGGCTTCTCTTACCAAGGGAAAGGAAGTTAGTTTCATCTGAATTAGCTTACACCATAGATGAATAACAATGTTCGCTATTGTACCTTACAGTTGAGGTGTTCAAAAATCATTGTAGTATTGTATGACGTGACTAAACTGTTTACAAAAAGAAAGGTTTTTTATATGATTCGCTACAGTATTTTGCGTTTAAAGTCCTTCATCTTCTAATATTTATATTCGAAATAATACTAATACTCCCGCTGTTAATTATATCTCCTTATAACACGCTGCTCTTTCCAACCATAGGGGAGGTTATAAAGTGACGGTTAATCCCACTATTCGTTGGTAAAAGAGTAGCCCAACAGTTGGCAGTGGGTTAGTGGCTGAATACGGACATCAGCTTGTCACTTCTAACTGTAGTTTTTACGAACTATAGAACTTATATAAAAAAAGAAACAAACTTAAAGGTGGACCGAATATGGAAATAAGTTGTAATGGCCTTCTAAATTTGGGAATGTTGATTGTTAATTCCTATTTTTCGAAACCTTTTTATTGTTGATTTTTTTCTTGAGAAGTAAAGTTGCATAGAAACTATTCGGAATATTAGTGACAAATCAAGGCTTAAAATTTGGGAGTTTTGATGAAAAGAATTCCAGTTCGAAAAGCGTACATCAAGAATATCTTTCTAGTCGAATAATATGAAAGAGAAATTTTCACAAAATGTTTGAAAAAATACCTAGGGTATAGCCTTGGTAATTTTGTTGAAAAAATGATGTTTTGAAATACTAAAAAAAGTGCGTATTTTAATCCAAAATTAAATATGAAATCTTCATTTGTGTTTATTTCTTACAAAAACAGCAACAGTAAAACATTATGAGTCTAATGAAAAACATTATATCGCTTCCAAAGCTTAGAAAACAATTTTCACTTATCAAGAATAAAAACAGAAGTAACGTTTGCGAAATCTGCTCTTCTGAGGTTGCAGCGGGTGAGTCTTACAAGACCGAAAATATTATTTCTTGTTTCATATACCGACTTAAGTATCACATTAAATGTGTAAATATAACTTACGAGGATTTTAATATTTTACTTGTGAATTGCCTAAACAACTGAACTGTTCTATGAGTAAAGATAACTTTCTTATATCATTTTCCAATATGGCGAATCACAAGGACAATAATATTGAAGAATTAGAAGAAAAAAAAAGAATTTCAGGGCGAAGTACAAGGTGAGAGTCAATTAAATGACTTACCGTATTTTTCGGTCTATAAGACCCACTTCGTTACTCCGAAATTTGATGTCAAAATCTGCTTGCGTCCTATACACCGAAGGTATGAATAATATATATGTATATATGCGATATACACACAAG